AAGGAGGCCCAGGATGGGTGTAGCCATGCCACAAAGCTGTGTCAGCTGGCAGATTTCTGCCCAGAGACAGAGGTGGGTGAGTTCTGAGCCAGAGGGTCTGGCCAGGCTGCCCTCCTCCTCTTCAAGCCAAGTGAGCACTGACAAGAGTTTAACTCCAATAGGCCTTAGATGTGGGCATGAGATTGGCTTAAGCCTCAGCCCATCACTGACATCCCAGCAAGCTCTTTGATTTTCTGGAAAATGGGAATGATCTCACAAAGCAGTGGGGGAAGTGTAAAGGAGGCAATGGATGGGGAGCACTTTTGTTCAGTTGTTCTGTGTTAGAGGTGGTCCTTTCCTGCAGCCCTGTGGGGAAGGGAAGGCAGTGCGCTTCAGGCTGAGGGAGGCTGGGGTGTGAAAGGGTTGGGACTAGAAGTGCTACAGATATCGGATTTCTGATTAGGGATTCTCAGCTTGTGCTTACTCACTGTGTGGTCCTGGACAAAACCCTGCACCTTTCTGTACCTCATTCGCAAAGCAGGGGAGTGATAATAACCCTTGCAGGGTGGTTGTGAGGACTGGATAAGCCCACATAACCCAGGGCCTACCCCAGAGCGGGGTGCTTGATAAATGTTTGTTTCTTTCTCCCTATGACTGTAGGACAGGTATCCTCTCTGCCTTGTGGACCAGCCACTTACCCTCTGGGCAACAGAGGGGCTAAGGTTTCCATCACTGCAGTGTGTCTGTCCGCACGTGTGAAACTCTTTAGGAACTACAAAGTCACACACATAATTCCTATTGGCAGCCGAACACTGGTGACTGCAGGGAGTACCAGAATGTGTCACCCTTGGTAAAGCTCAACCGTATTAAACCCTTCTTGGAGGTATAACTTGACCTATCTCTGGTTTGGACAAAGTACATGTGGGCTGAGTTGGGAGGTGATGGAGAAGTGACCTAGGTCCCAGAAAACATCTCACAGCTGTCCTGTTTACCCATGTGAAGAACAGGGCAGGTGATTACAGGAACCTAGGGACGTTGGGATATGTGAAGGGAACAGAAGTCAGTGCCTATGTGAGTCCCTCATGCAGAGAGACGACAGAAAGCTTCCAAGAAGTGTCTCTGGATCTGGTTTTCCATCCAAACCCAGTCTGGACACTGTACTTAAGAACAGCCATGGATATAGAATCTGGAGGCAAGGGGAGAGCATTCTGGAAGTCAGGAGGCCAGAGACTGAAGCTCTATAAAGTGACACAGAAGCAAGTGACTGTACCCCTATCTCTTGGACTCCTTCTGTGTCCTTTGGTGGATGTTCCCAACCTGGGGACCAGATATTACAGCTCAGTTCTCCAAGCCTCCACCTCCACACTACCAGCTCAGCTTACCTTTCTATCTCACTGATCTATCTAGGTGCCTCTGCTGTTCACACCTTCACTTGGTCCATCCTGCACAGAATGAAGCCCAAGCTTCCTAGTAGGACTACAAGGCCCTTCAGATCTGGTCCCTGCTGTCAGCCTCTCCAACTTCATCTCCCCTCCCCCTAACTACATTCTTCTTCCAGCCACAACTGGAGTTCCTACCTCCAACCTTTTGCCCTTTCTGTAACCTGTCTGAACACGTTCCCTTCCTCTTCACCTGAATCAGCCTCATCCTTTGGGCTCCAGCAGCAATGTGGTCTTCTCTTGACCTTCCAATTTACCATTTCCTCTCTTCCCTGACTACTATCCTCATTCACAGGCTAGTTCACTGTGAACTATATTTCTCTGCCAAGCTAGACCCACATTGCGGCATAGAGTGATGAGGCTCCTGCCCTTAGGTAGCTCCTGGCCCAGTAGAGAGGCAGACACTGCAGATAAGACAGTGAGAACACAGGAAGGAAGGGCTGACTAGGATATCGTCTCTTGGTTGAAGCCATATACTAGGTCTGATTCTCTGTGTCCTAATCAGCATCTGGCCCAGAGAAGGTGTACAGAAAAATGTGCTGAAGTAGATGAACTTGAGATCTGCATGTTTCAAATGGGCCTCGTTTATCCGAAACCTTGCCATATCATTAAGATAATGATATCTTGGCCGGGAGCCCTATAATCCTAGTTACTAAGAAGGCAGAGATCAGGAAGATCGAGGTTTGAAGTCAGCCTCGGGAAAATAGTTCACAAGACCCTATCTCAGAAAAAAACCCATCACAAAAGACGGATGGTGGAGTGGTTAAGGAGTAGGCCCTGAATTCAAACCCCAGTTCTGCCTAAAAAAAAAGATCATCATATTTTACTTTTCATTGCAGAGTGGTAACACTCTTTACATGTTATGACTTCACCTGATCCTCAAGTACTCAAGTGAAGTCAGCAAGATAGGAACTGTCACCTCCATTTCACGATGCAGAAACTGAAGTCTAGACAAGACAGGCAGAGTGACTTGGCCAAGGACACTTGGCAAGTTAGTGGTAGAGAGGCCACCAAGTCTCCTGCCTCCCAGCTTGAGTGCTGCCCCTCTGATCATAATAGAGGCAAGTGGGTGGGCCAAGGCCTCCTCTAGAGGAGACCCTTTTAGGATAGGCACAAGCCACACAATGACCTAGGGGATTTCAGGCCAAGTGGAGTCCTGCCTCCAAGAACTCATGGTGCTTTCAGCATTCACCTGGCTATACTATTCTTTGCCCAAAAATATGCTGTATCTGTTCCTACCTCAAGCCTTTGCACACCCCAGTCCCATGTGGTCTCCACTGACATGGTATGCCTTGTCAGTTTCCTAAAAGGCACCAAGCTCTTTCCAGCCTCAGGTTCTCACCACATGCAGGTCCCTCTGCCTTGGTTTTTCCTTTTACCCTTGACTAACTCAGTCCTCAGGGTTCAGTAACATTTTCTCAATGAGATTTGCACCTGTGGCCTTGAAGGAGTTGAACAAATGGAATTGTTTCTATGTCTCACCAGTGACATGTCACATGCTGCCCTGTGACTGTGACTCCTGCCATTCTCTCCTCCCCCGCATAAAGATGGTAGAGACCTCAAAAGCAGAGACTTAGTCTCCTTTCATGCCATGACCCACAGCCAGCCTGCTCAAGCTACATCCAAGGAATGTCTTTTCACAAACATGCTTGTTGCCTGCCCTCACAACCAGTAAATCACTCTACCAGATTCGATTAGGTCTTACTCCTTCTGTGCTGTTTTTTTGGGGGGAGGATGGGGACAGCGGGCAGAGCTTGGGGTGAAACCCAGAGCCTTGCACATGCACCAAGCAGCACCCCAGCCCTCCTATGCTTTTCTCTAGACTAGGCTTTCCCTCCAATCCCTTGACCACTGCCCTAGCTTGAGGCTCATCCTCTTTTTTTTTTCCTTTTTCTTTTATTATTCATATGTGCATACAAGGCTTGGGTCACTTCTCCCCCCTGCCCCCACCCCCTCCCTTACCACCCACTCCGCCCCCTCCCTCACCCGCTCCTCCAATACCCAGCAGAAACTATTTTGCCCTTATTTCTAATTTTGTTGTAGAGAGAGTATAAGCAATAATAGGAAGGAACAAGGGTTTTTGCTGGTTGAGATAAGGATAGCTATACAGGGCATTGACTCACATTGATTTCCTGTGCGTGGGTGTTACCTTCTAGGTTAATTCTTCTTGAACTAACCTTTTCTCTAGTACCTGTTCCCCTTTTCCTATTGGCCTCAGTTGCTTTTAAGGTATCTGCTTTTGTTTCTCTGCGTTGAGGGCAACAAATGCTAGCTAATTTTTTAGGTGTCTTACCTATCCTCACCCCTCCCTTTTGTGCTCTCGCTTTTATCATGTGAGGCTTATCCTCTTTCAACCATCTCCTTCCCAGTTTTTCCCACTGCCCTCCTGTTCAGAAGACCCTCCTCTCCATTTCCCATGCTATGGCTAGAGGATTCTTGAATCTGACCACTGCCATTTCCCTACTTAAAGCTCTTCCTAAAACCCACTCCCACCCCAATGTCTAAGGGTGGCACCCAAGAGTCTTTCTGAAACCAAACTCCAGCTTCTTTCACTTCAGCTTCATTTTCCACAGTTGCCTGGGCGCCCGACACTCCAAATCCTGACCTAGCCCCAAATATGCTGACTTTTAAAACTTACTGCCTTTCCTTCTCCCTTGCCCTCATACCTTTCACTTGCAAAGCTACACATGGAAATAATTTCAAACCCTATGTGCCAGGCATTAGGTATGCACTTTCATACCTCACCTCCGTAGTTGTCAAAGTACCCCACAAAACTAACAATTACTATTCTTACTTTATGGACATGAAAACTGAGGTTCAAGAAAGGAAGGTCAGAACTGGACTTCAGATAGGATCCCAAACCTCTCTGCACCAACTGTCTGGGAAATGCACCCATCCCCACACGGAGGCAGGGTCCTCTCTCTTCTGTGGATCCATATCCGCCTGGTTTCTCTCTTGTCCTAGCATTGTTGGCACTGTCCAGTCTGCCGCCAGCTCACCAACATCAGCTTCCCAAGGACAGGGTCTGAGCCTATGGAGCTGGGTCCTCCAAACCCAGCAGCATTCAAATGCTTTGTGACGCTTCCTGATAATTTGGGGTGGTTTAGAAAGTCAGCCCTAATCCAACTAATCCCAACACCACTGACCAGAAGAACGGCCTTCGCAGCTGCTGCCAGAGGAAGACACTGCCAAAGAAAAAGAACACAGGCACCCTTACGCCCCCTGCTAGTGCTGCACGTGCTCAGTTTCCCGGCCCACGTTCTAGCTGCCGGGCCGTACCAATGTTCGTGGGGGAGTCCGAGGGGAGGACTGAAGAAGCAGCTGGAATAAGCAGCCTCGCGCCTTTGGGAAGGGGCTCCCCATATCGTATTTACTCCTATATCCCATCCGTCTTGTTCAGAACAAGCCCAGGCACTGACTTGAGCCCGCATTGAACCCAAACCCGGGAGCTCCGCCCCCGCGAGGATATGGTACGGGCCGCGGGGGTGGAACGGCCTGCCCCGCCCAGCTCGCGTCGAGGCCCGCCCCGTTGTGAGGTTATAAAGTGCTCTTTCTCAGCAGCAGCTCCGCGGCAGTGTTTCGCTGGCTGTTCTGCTGAGGATTGTAGGTCCCAGCTCCGGTGCTGTGGCCACTTGAGCTTGGGCGCCGTCCCGGGGCTCCCGTGCTCTGCGCGAAGCCCTGGCCCCGTCGGCCAGGGCATGGGCCAGAGGCGCGGTGTGAGGCGGCTTCCCGCAGGGCGGTGGCCTGCACCGGTTTCAGCATGAAGACCCTTATAGCCGCCTACTCAGGGGTCCTGCGAGGTGAGCGTCGGGCCGCGGCTACCCGGAGCGAGAGCTCAAATGGAGGATCTGCATTATCACCTCAGAGGTCTGGGAGATGGGGTGAGTGTCAGACCTGGGCTTTTCATCCTGGGAATATGCAAATGCATGACAGTGCTGGAGGGCTGGCTACTGCAGGTCAAAGTCCCAATTCCTTATTATTATTTTGAGGCAGCAGCGTCTTGATAGCCCAGGCTAGCCTTGAACTCGTGGTCCTCCCGCCTCAGCCTCCTGGGCTCTAAAATTATAGGCATGGACTACAATGCCTGACTCTGCCTTTCCTTCTGGGGAAACTCGTTTCCATCTCCCACCACCTGGATCTGGGATCAGGGAAGAATCTTTGTTACCTAGTCCTGTTACCTACTGTAATCCAGGCGAGCTGGTATCCAAGTCAAGTCTGGGTTCATTCTCCATTCTGGCACTCATCGATTTTTGTAACATCTGTTACATCACTTCCCGTCCCCCAGCTGATAAGGATAACACCACCCAACGTTCTCAATTATTAGAGACATCTAACTCCTTCCCAGCCCCCAGCATTTTTCCTGACCCCTGGCATTTTCCTCCCCTTTTCCCTCACTAGGTGGAACAACTTTTGGCAGTGAGAGACTGGATGGGGCCGGGTGGCAAGGGTTTTGTAATTCCTGATGCAGTCACTGGTTGGGGAACATGCCTGGCTGGGGCAGGTGTGCCCTCTCTGACCTCTGCCCCACACCCATCTGCCAACCCAGGCTGTGGAGCCCACTCAGCTGCAACTCTGAGCCTGGCATACTTAGAAGGCACGGTGGCTGGGTGTCCCCCAAGGTGGAACTGAGGCCCTCGGTGAATCGGGCAGTGTTGAAATCATACACCACAGCTTTTCCCATACAAGGAAAAACCTCCCTTCCACCCCCCACACTCCTTATCTACAGTTGGAGAAACTGAGGCAGGAAGAAGTTCGCTGCCCAAGGTTTCTTTAGCAGATGCCTTGGCAGGGGGATTAAATACAAACCCAGGAGACCCTGGGAAGTCATGACAGTTGTTGTAGTCTGTGAGTCTGTCTTACATGAAAACGTTCTCCCTCTTACAAGTCTTTAGTCTACTTGCTGAACCTCTCCAAATTTGAGATTTTTCTTTAGTAACTAATAACCACCTGTTTCCCCTTACCTTCATTGTAAAAATGAAACATGCTAATTATGGAAAAAATAAGAAATTGCTGGTAAATCGTCTATCCAAAGATAGCAGCTTCCTATTAGCATTTTACTATGTTTATAGTTTTCCTTATACAGTTTATACAGATAAAGTTGAGGATATGCTGTAGCTATAGTTCTGAACCTGTTTTCTCCTTAATGTCACATCATGAGTACTTCTTGCTGTTAATGGAAATCATTTCTAATATGCTTGTGGCCACAAGATAACCCATGCTGGAGCTGTCAATCTCACAGTTTAACTGTCCTGGCATTCCCGTTGTTCCTTATTGATTATCACTGTCTTATCTACCCTTCTTTGTTTGGGTGCTGCTCATTGCCTTTGAAGAGGTACTGACTTTCTGTTGCCATCCAGGATGCCTGAGTGGTCCCACACACCAGCCTATAGCCTCTGACAGCCACTTCTCTCACTTAGAATACTTTCCTGTTCACTCTATCCTCTGATGTCCTTAACTGAGGAAGGAAAGGACTTGCCCATGTTCATGTTTTTACAACGTTTTTGTCTCCTGGTAATGTAACAGAGACACCATCTGTGGCGGTTCTTTCTGGAGATCCCTTTCTTGGGCTCTGTTGTCCACAGGCTGTGAGCTGTGTCTTCCAGGAGCCAGTGACCCCTGCTCTCATGTTTTTGACCTAGAGTTTGTTACTCAGGAGAATTTATACACCAGCAGATGGTTTGGACCGAGTCATTTACTATATCAAAAGAATGTCCCCATGTTGTTAACAGATCTTGAAAATATGAGTTTGGAAAACTAGGTACAAGGATTTACATCGTGGAATGTAGCAAGGGCTAATAAGAAATGCAAACCAGTCTGTTTAGCTCTGGGATCTGCTTTGTTGAAAGACTAGGTGGGGTGGGGCAGGGTGCTGAAGCAAATTTTGTGTTATCTTGACATCCCATTAGAACTACTTTCTACATCCTTGGTCCTTGAAGACACTCCCCAGTGGCCTAGTTTGCCTTTGCAGATACGTTCCCACTGTTATGAGGTGGTGAACACCCTGTCCGTGGCAGTATTGAAGGAGAGACCATGGATTCTATGAAGGGAAGTCCAGTGATGGGTAAGGATTGCGTAGATTCCTTGGTGTCTGGTTTCTTTGTAGGAGCACGGGTAGGTGGGTGGGTGTTGGGGAAGTTTGTGTTGGTATTTTCTCTTCTCTGTGGTACTGTCCCCAGCTGGGCATGGAGGCTGCAGTTACCTGTGTATGCATCCCTGCCTTTGCCCTGAACCAGGGGTCAAGGGCCTCCAGTCAGAGGCCTTGGATGCTTGCCTATATCCTTAGGGTTCAGCATAGGACCCAGCACAAACTGGTGGCAGTAAAGTTCTGAGTTCTGAGCTGATGTAGTCTATGTGGCTCCAAAGAACAAGCCCAGGAACAAGGGCAGGTTTGGATGCAAGACAGGAATCATTTCTCTCAGCTGTTGATGACTACATAGGCCAGGGGGTGGGGGGAGGATGATGGAGTCCCCTGCCTCCCTGGGGGTATGCAAGCAGGTCTTGGGAGGGGATAAAACGAAGTGGCCAGATTGTTGGGGGTAACTAGAACTGAAAGTTAGCAGTCTTCTAATGCAGCCCCAAATCATAGAATGAGAACCTCACTCTCGTGTGCCCCCTCCCTCAATTCTGTGTAGCTTTACTTGTCCCCTGCATCACTTTCCCAACTTCACAGAGACCACTTTTTGGGTTACCTGTGGTAGCAAGGGCTCACCTGGGCTGGGAAAGGAAGGCCAAGAGTAATATTTTGTTGGCAGGCAGGTGACTCAGTGACCAGTGTGGAAATCTGCCACACCCCCACCCTCCCGCTCCTAAATTCAGCATTAAGTACTTGAGTCATAAAAACATAGGTGTCTGATGGTGCAGATCTAGCTCAACCCTGATGGTAAAGATGGGAGCACTGAGACCCCTGGAGAGAACGGACTCATCTAGAGCTAAAAAAGTGAGTCTGAAACCCAGATCTGTCTCCCAGTCCGTGACTAGTCTCCTTTTGGGAAGTGGGTGGGGGCATGGGACAGAAAGGGCTGTATACTGCCCATTGTGAGTGCTCTGCAGTTTGCTGAATGAGTGAAGGTTGCTTTCCTTCCCAATGTTTTTGAGGAAGCTCCCCAAACTTGCCCTGGTAGATAGAAGCATCAGCATCCCCTAGAGCTGCAGCTGCCAGGTGACCTGCCAGGTGCCTCCTCTCCCATACTTCAAACCTTCCAAATTTCTCTTTGGGGCCTCTGAGGCCATATGAGCTGCTCCTGTAGCCTCACAACCTCCTGTCCAGCAGCCCATCTGCTGTGCTCCAGACACACCAGTGGTCTTCCTGACCCTCTACCATTGCCTCAATTCAGTCCTATCTTAGGGCTGTTGTGTGCACTGCCCTCCTGTCTGAATCTTTTGTGACTACCTTCTGAACATTCCAGACATTCTCAGAGGCCTTCTCTGGCCACACCACCTGGAGAGCCACCCACTAGTCACCACATCTTGGACAAATTCAAACTCTTATCATTACCTAAGTTATCCCGTGTGTTTATCTGTTTAGGTAGTTTTCCCCCAACAAGTCAACCCTTGGGAACAGGGACCTTGTCTGTCTTTCTCAGCCTGTGTCCCTAGCATCTGGCAGGTAGTGGGTTGAATGACTGAATCATTAATGGACTTCATTGGTCCTTTTGGCAGGAAGCCTTTTTCTTAGCTTCTAGGTGATTCCTCGAGCCTTCCCCAAGCCTCCTCTCTGCCTGCCTGTGTTGGGTCCTGGGGCTGCAGCTGATCCTTACTCTGGAGAGCCCCATAGTCTGTGGAGGAGCTGGACATGGGTTCAGCACCTGGCAAATGGAGCCAGGCTCATCACAGTCCCCCTTCTGGCTTTCAGGGCTTAGAAGTCTAAGAGCCAGAATTCTAGATCTGCCATTTCTCTGGGACATAGTTGGGTGACTCACTGCCTCTCTGGAGATCTCACTCCCTCATCTCTAAAATAGAGTCAGAAATCTTAGACTCTCGGGATGTAGGGATTTGAGCTAAGATGAATGGAAAGTGGTAAACTAACTTAGGACACTTGTTTGAATGCGTCATTGCATGCCCTGTGAGATGTGCAGCAGGCTCCAACCCTGTGGAGCATGGCAGACTTGGCTCTGGAGCATCCAGGATGGCTTCACTAAAGTGGGGACTTGTGGGCCCTCAGTGCATTGAGTGAGTGCCTCCTATGTGTCAGCCAGGATCCCATCCTTTGAGGATAAGAGACCAAGGGAAGGTACACACAGTGACATGCAGAGTGAGCCAAGGCAATGACAGAGAAGGAAGAAGAGGTAACTAGAAGTCAGGAGAGTGAGGGAACCAAATCACCCTGAGGTCAGGGAAGAACTTCTTGGAAGAGTGACACTTATTCTGAATCTTGAAAGATGCCTAAACATTAGCAAGGCATAGAAGAACATTCATAAATAGAGGCACTGCAGGCCTCAAGTGACCAGCCTGGGTTGCAGTCCTGGTACACTGAGAGGCAGAGGTAAGGGAGAAAGAGCTGTGGGGGGCTCACTGGCATCTGCCTGGGGTAGTTAGAGTTTTTTGGCTTCTACCACTCCTGGGTACACCTTAAATGGAGCTACTGTTGGCCAGTTTGGGAACTTGGGGCTAAAAGTCAGGTATAGGGTGTATGTAGCCCCTACTTTGCCACCGAGGTACCCTACAGCCTCAGCAAGCCACCACCCCTTCTGACTCTCAGTCCCTCCTGTGTAAAATGGGCAGAAGCATGGCTACAGAGTCTTCCTCGTTATGGTGCTGAACCTGTGAGCCCCTGGGGCCAATCCCAGAGTAGGAAGAAGCACAAGCTCCCCTTCTTGTTAAAGAGAGAACAGTGAGCAGTTCCAAGCTGCGTCCAGGAGCCTCACTTGATACCTGCTTCCCA